TTATTACCTTTTTTTTGTCATTCTAATTCCTTGTTTGGTGATGGCAAAACTATGATTATAATGATTTGCTTTTACTTTGGAAGATTTTGCTCCTATGATTGGCCTTTTGGGATTCTTTAGTTAGTTGGAGATTTCCAATGTACAAGTTTTCTTCAAAGTATAAGTAGACCAACTTATATATTAATATAAATAATTGAGATGGACAAAACTTTCTTTTATGAATGTTTCTTTAATTGTAAGGTAAAGAACAATTATTTGCATAAGTCGCCTCAACTTGCTATTTTAAAATCTCTCACTTTTTTCTTTTACCTATAATTTTTTTTTATATATGTTGAAACTCGTGTATTTTATGAAACGGCTTAATTACCTACTTAGTCCCCATGTTAGGAGGTAATTTTCTGTTTAGTACCCGGTTTTAAAGATGTAGGCATTTGGTACCTATGTTTTGAAATAATGCATCTTCATTAACGTCTTTAATTTCTCGCATCAATTATAACGCCGTTAACTGGATAGGATTGAATTGATAAAATTACCTCGTAACATGGAGACTAAGTAGGTAATTAAGCCTTTATGAAACTGCATAATTTTATTTAAGAAAAAAGACTGTAGAAAAAAAAATGTTAAAAACATTTTAGAAGCATTTATCTTCCTTTTACAAAACATCTTTAGTGAGGGTTTGCTTCCTCAGAGGTGACCTTTCACTTTCTTATCTGCTAATCCTTTATCCTCCTTGCCAAATAAAACGACAAAAATTCAAATAAATGTTTTATCTTTATTTATTTTATTATTACAATTCCTATTCTTTTGGGTATATTTTCTCAACCAGATTTATGAGTCGTAATTGGACTTATTTATTTTTAAGAAACAAACTTCTAAAGATTTTTTTTTCACAGTCAATCAATTATAAATATCTATTATGTACTCTCTTTTTTCGTACTTAATAGAAAATCTATAAAAAATCACAGCTTCAATAATTTAGGGAGATGAGATATCTCCTTTAGTCAGACATAGGCCATTAATTTAAAATGGAAAGTACAATGTTATCATATTTTAGATATCTATTGCGTCTATAAACTTAATCCTTATTACTATTTTCCAAGTTAGGTTCAATACTGCTGAGAAAGATTTAAATTATTCGACATAATTATAAATGTTGATAAAAATTTATTTTTTAAATAATATTGGTATTGAAACGAAAATAAGTATACCATGGATATAAATGTATATTTAAACGAGTACAACATGTATATAAACGTATCTAATTTCTCAAAAACTAAATTTCATATTTATTGAATGCAGAAAATGAAATGGATATAAATTTTTTCTTCGATGAGAAAGACATCATCATCTTCCTATTATATGGTAC